AAATAGTGATAATGATAATAATAATAACATACTAATATCTCTATTAGTCTTACAGATTTATTGCCATTGTCATCATTATATGGTAACGATAATAATCACTACTATCATTCATTATTATTACTATTATTAGTACTGTTGTTGATGATTTGCCTTTATTATCATCAGGTCCTCACTAATAACCTAATGATAATCGTTCTTTTAATGACAAGATTGTAACCGATAATTCACATCCACTCTGAAAGTTCTTACCTGAGTTACTAGAAGATTGTGACCCTCATTTCACTGACATTTGAGACAAGTCGATCGTCTACTCAGTTCTCTAGATGTTTTTTTTATTGCTATTTGTAAGCTTTGGAATAAATTGCCTTCAGAGACTGTAACTTCTCCGAATCGTGATAAGTTTAAAAGAACAGCTAATATATACTTGCTACGTAAATCGGTGACGATTTTCTATCTTTTCTTTCTTCCTTCCTTAGCTGTATTTTGACCTGTATTGACTCCTTTGGGGGTACAATTCTCTAGTTTTTCATTTTCATTATTTATATGGCTTACCATAACAAGAGAAATAATAATGATAATAATGACTTTCATTATTGTTATTGCTATTATTATTCATATATTCTTATCATAATGAAAGGTACAAAGACGGAGATAGATGGGCAGCCAGACAGAAGAAGAAGAAGAAGAAGAAGGAGAGAGAGAGAGAGAGAGAGAGAGAGAGAGAGAGAGAGAGAGAGAGAGAGAGAGAGAGAGAGAGAGAGAGAGAGAGAGAGAGAGGTAGATAGATAAATAGATAGATAGATGGAAAAAGATAAGAGATAGAGACATATTACCTTGAGTAAACATAATAAAAAATATATGTAAGATTAGAAAGAAACCACCCAACCCCCTCCCCCAAAAAAAGAAAAAAAAAGAAAAAAATACGGTATATACGCTCGAAGGCAAATGGTCTGTAGCGTTACGGTGACGCTCGAATGTAAACATTGACCCATACGAGCTTTTTGTTTTGAATTTTGTATATAAACACATTTACTATGGCTTTTATTATTATTCTAGTGTTTATACAAGTCTTGCTTTTATTTTAACATTGCATATTGTTCATTAATAGTCCAGCAACTAGGCTTGCGAGTCAAAATCATGCTTTTATGTTTCTTCATATTTAACATCCTTTGGTTAGCTGAATATGTATTCAAATACCAGTAAAGAAGTGAACACAAGCTTACATTTGATCTTAACAGTTCATACAGCAGAATCCAAAGTGCAAAATATTCCTTGACAGCCTACAAAATCTGTAAACAATGTACGAGAAGCCTGCTAGGCGTGTTACCTCTCGAGACCGTAGCGGTTGTGCGCGACACGAAGAATGCAAGGATCGCGCTACAGGCCGTTCCGTTGACAGCGCACAAATTTTACATTCTTTAATCTCTACTTTCATTCATGTTTACATTCTTTATGTATTCATTTATTTATTTATGTATTCTTCGTTTATCCATTTTTCTATTCATCCATTCATTTTTTGATAACTCTTACTGTGAATATATGCCACATTTACCTAACCTGATCCAATAATTTCCCTGTGATACTTCCTGCCCTCTCTCCCCCCCTTCCGCTGTGTCTCGTCGGGAAAATCGTTCCTGTGCTTGATATTTAACAATAAGAATAAATATTGATACAAAAAATCTTTCTCGACTTGAGTTGTTTTACATATAACAAAGGAAGCGGAATTGCTGATTATTGGTTAGATAAAAAGCAAAAAGGGGGGAGAGGAGGAAGAGGAAGTAAGTGTATGATAGTCGAGGATCAACGTCTTTCATCATCTTTGTCCAATGTTTATCAAGATATCTCGTCTCTTTATCTTCTTTCGATGATTGAGGGAGAAAAAGAAAGAAAGAGGAAAAGGGAGAGAGTGAGAACGTTTACCGTCGTTTGATATTTTCAGCATGTCTGTAATATTTATATTTTAGTATATTTGAACAACAGAGAATGCGTGTACGTACGTGCGTGTGTATGTGTATATATCTGTATGTAAGAGAAGGAAATAGATGAACAGAGATAGATAGAATTCGTCAATAAGGGCAAGGATAGAGTACATAAGAATAATTTATATATTTACTCATGTCGGTTTAGAAAATAAATAGGACTGCATAAAATATCCGAATATACAATGTTGGCATTTGAATTATTCCTCCTGAGATTCAAGGGCCTTGCGCTCGTCCTCGAGGCGGGCGAACTCGATCTGGTCGAGGACGAACTGGGGGATGGGGTGGGGGAAGGCGGGGGCCACGGGCAGGAGGGAGGACTCGGGCTGGAAGCCGTTCTCGTCGGCCACGAACTTGACTTCGGCCAGAGAGCCGTCCTCCTGGGGGTAGCTGGAAGAAGGTTCGTCATGCAAATTATGCTTTATAATAGAATTGTAGCTGTGAGCATTTATAACACAGTTTAGGTTACCGTTAGATATAACAGTGGAATAAACTTCAGTATTCCCTTACGCGAAATATCCGACCATGTTGGCGCCGCCCTCTTCAGCCTCTTTGCCAGAGAACTGGAACACGATGCCGTTCTCGGCCTCGAAGTCGGAGCTGTGGGCGCCGTCCTCGTCGGGGTTGACTTGGCTGCTCCTGAGGATGGCCACGGGAGGGTTGGTCAAGGGCAGTTTGTCGGCCACAGCCACGGCCAGCAGAGCGAGAACGACGGCCTGGAAAGGGTTTTAATCCAGTGTAAACATTTGCTGAACCCATACCAACAGTCGAAAATCATGCTTCACATCCATCATTATATAATTCTAAAGATATTGTTACTATACTATTATTATCATATATTAAAAAAAAAACTTCCAAGTAGCTGATACTGTTAAAGTTCTATTAAATGACCCTAAAAAGTGGCACGGAACTTACGATCTTCATGGTGGGACGAAGTGAAGAGGAATGTGTAGGTCAGCGTGTGTCTCCGCGTTATATAGCCGGCGAGAGGCAGGTCAAGTCGAGGTCATCTCATCCGTCTGGCCAGCTACCCATTCATGATTTTGGCTTCAAAGGAGAAATTTGTATTGATGGGGAATAGTTATCTATGTAATTGCGTTTTTTAAAGGATATACCGGATATATTAAGGTCGCACTTTTGAATATTATGATTTTGCGTATAGTTATTCTTTTATATGTTGCGTCTACAGTTCTAATTATTACAATGCCTTTGATGTTTGTCACTTAATAAAATCATACAATCCAAGAGGGCCAGTAAGCTAAGAAAAAAGGGAAACAAAAGAAACTGTATACAAGTCTGTGCTGCTAGAGAATTCATGAAACTTCATTGGCTTATTGTCCCAGTATGGAATATGCCAGCCGGTGTTATGGACACATTTTAATTAATAATTATTTCTTGCATGACAGTATTGTATATTTTCAACCTCAGATGTTGCCTAAACCCATCAAAGCGAGTATCAGTGGAAGTACATACTGATTGCAAAAAAAAAAAAAAAAAAAAAAAAAAAAAAATATTATGCGACTTTTTGGGATAAAAATTGAGAAAAAAATTGCCTGTGGAACCTACGTCATAAAAAATCATAGGATATCTTTAAGCCTCTCTCATGCGTGAAGAAAGAACATTAGAATTGTCATAGATGGAAAGAAAATCTCAGGAAGCAAAGACGAACAAAACATTTATGTTGCTGAGAATTGCTACCCAAATAATGCATTTGGCAACTGCATTTTTTTGAAGCGGAACTGGTCATAACATTCCTATTTTAATGTCTATAGCATAAAAAAATCACTGTATAATAACAGTATTCACCCAACAAACGATACACATATGATTTGTGGTGAATCATCTAGTTAGATATGATTATAGATTATATTGCATTTAATTCATTTCTGTAGAGACTTACGATTTAATAGAACTACTATAGGTAACCCTTTTATTTCTTTTTCAAAGAGCTGGGCGTATAAGAAACGACACTATAATGTAAAGGTACTTGTAGGATCTATAAACAATGAATAAATATAACGGTAACAGTTAGTCCTCTAACGTTACGGTCTAAAATATTTGGAACTTGAACGAAACTGAACGAGATGTTTCATTCACTGGGACATTTTGCAGGTATTTATTTATTTATCCATTCATATACACTTAAAACTTGAGAGAGACTAGTGGAAATGCAATGATTTTTTTATGACTGACGGCCCAGATATCAAATACTCGAATATATGTCTGGCTTACTGGGGCTTTCAATATTCTCTATTTATCATTAATTTATTTCTATATTCTTTTTTGTCTTTCATTTATTTGCATATCCTTTATTTATGCATCAAATTAATTCTTTATTTTTCATTTCTTCATCTATCTCTTCCTTAGGACATTTCTTTATAACTATACTGAATATGTCATATTTAACCAACAATTTCCCTGTGATACTTCTTGCTCCCTCCCGTTGTGTCTCGTCTCGTGGCTATCGTCGGGAAATTCGTTCCTGTGCTTTACATTTAACACTAAGAATATATTTGAAAACAAAAATAATTTTTCTCGACTTGAGCTGTTTTATATATAACAAAGGACATGGAATTCCTGATAAAAAGCAGGAAGTGGGGGAGGGGGAGGGAAAGAGGAGGGATAAGTAACGTGAATGATTTTCGAGGATCATAGTCTTTCATCCTCTTTGTCCAGTGTTTATCAAGATATCTCGTCTCTTTATCTTCTTTCGATGATTGAGGGAGACAGAGAGAAAGAAAGAGAGGGAGAGAGAACGTTTAAACCGTCGTTTGATATTTTCTTCACGTGTGTAATATTTCTATTTTTGTATATTTGAACAACAGAGGATGCGTGTACGTACGTGGGTGTATATGTGTGTGTATCATATATCTATATGTGAGAGAGAGAAATAGAGAGTTAGAATTCGTCAATAAGGGCAAGGATAGAGTACATAAGAACAGTTGATATATTTACTTATGTCGGTTTAGAAAATAAATATGACTACATGAAATATTCGAATATACAATGTTGGCATTTGAATTATTCCTCCTGAGATTCAAGGGCCTTGCGCTCGTCCTCGAGGCGGGCGAACTCGATCTGGTCAAGGACGAACTGGGGGATGGGGTGGGGGAAGGCGGGGGCCACGGGCAGGAGGGAGGACTCGGGCTGGAAGCCGTTCTCGTCGGCCACGAACTTGACTTCGGCCAGAGAGCCGTCCTCCTGGGGGTAGCTGGAAGAAGGTTCGTCATGCAAATTATGCTTTATAATAGAATTGTAGGTATGAGCATTTATAACACAGTTTAGGTTACCGTTAGATATAACAGTAGAATAGACTTCAGTATTCCCTTACGCGAAGTATCCGACCATGTTGGCGCCGCCCTCTTCAGCCTCTTTGCCAGAGAACTGGAACACGATGCCGTTCTCGGCCTCGAAGTCGGAGCTGTGGGCGCCGTCCTCGTCGGGGTTGACTTGGCTGCTCCTGAGGATGGCCACGGGAGGGTTGGTCAAGGGCAGTTTGTCGGCCACAGCCACGGCCAGCAGAGCGAGAACGACGGCCTGGAAAGGGTTTTAATCCAGTGTAAACATTTGCTGAACCCATACCAACAGTCGAAAATCATGGTTCACATCCATCATTATATAATTCTAAAGATATTGTTCCTATACTATTATTATTATATATTAAAAAAACACAAACTTCCAAGTAGCTGATACTGTTAAAGTTCTATTAAATGACCCTAAAGTGGCACGGAACTTACGATCTTCATGGTGGGACGAAGTGAAGAGGAATGTGTAGGTCAGCGTGTGTCTCCGCGTTATATAGCCGGCGAGAGGCAGGTCAAGTCGAGGTCATCTCATCCGTCTGGCCAGCTACCCATTCATGATTTTGGCTTCAAAGGAGTGGCGGGGCGTAGTAAGAAATGTCTATTTGCATATAGTTAGCGATGTAATTGCATATATATATATATAAATAAATTTACATATACATATATAATTTTATCTAATTCATTGGATAAATTAAAATTTAACTTTTGAAGATGATGATTTCATGTATAATCATTCTTTCATTATATATTGTATCCACAGATTTGATTATTGCAATGCCTTTGAAGTTTGTCACAATGATAAAGTCAAAGAATCCTTGAGTGCACACACACATTGAAACCCGCGTCACGTTTTTCGGGCATCAAGTGGTCATGACCCCCGTTTTTTTCCAGCAGTGCCGTATTTTTATCACCTTCCATGAGTCACTGTGCCCTCCCTGTTTTCTGAAGCGACGTCATTGAATTCATGCACATAGACATATATATGAATATAAGGTATATATAGATGAAGGAATACGTATACATATATATCTATATATGTAGACATATATGTATTTATGTATGTATATCAATATCTATCCATTTATTTGTACATACATATATACATACATATATATGTATATATATATATATATATATATATATATATATATATATATATATATATATACATGCATTTAAGTATGGATATCAATATCTATCTCTGTAGTTGTATATATATATATATATAATTTCATTCATGTCTTTATATATACGTATATAGGCCTAAATGTATACATGTATTTATACATGTATAAATACATGCTTATTCATATGTATATATATACATATACACACACATATACATATGTATACATATATATATACATATTTATATGTATATATATGTATATGTATATACATATATGCGTGTGTGTGTGTGCGTATACACACACAGACACACACACACACACACACACACATATATATATATATATACATACATATATATACATATGTGTGTGTGTGTGCGTATATATATAATATGTGTATGTGTGTGTGTTAAACACACACCCGCGCGTGCATATTTACATATAGGCCAACACATTACATATTTATATATGGAAGATATCAGAATCTTTCCAAGACAAGATTATCGCCGATCATTGGTTGGGAGGCCACAACCCTCCTTCTATGCGTATCGGGCAATCGGAAAATACAACAGAAGAAATCTCCTGAGATAATCTACAGGGCAGGAGAAAGGGGGGGACACCCTGAGAACAGCCTCCGCGGGGCCTCGCCAAACCCTTCACTCTCCCTCTTATTTTTTCGTCCTTTTTTTTAACCCTCTCTTTTCCTTTTTCTTTCCTTCCCGACCTCCTCGCCTCGCCGCCACGCCCGCATTTTTCCAATCGCTGCGCCCATGGCCTTTTACAAGCCCCTGCCCCCCGCCTCCCTCAGCTCCTGGAACCCGCGGCAGCTTAATGGCGATCGATTCAACCCTCCTCCTTCCTCCATGCTCACAAATCCTATAACATTTCCACGAGGTTTGTTCCTCTGGACTCTTAACCTCATAGAAAACCCTTCTAGTTAACCTAACCTTTTGCTCTGGGGGTCATCTGCTTTTTGTTTTTATTTTTTTATCTTTTTTTAACTGCCCTTCTTGAACCCCTTCCCTATCAATTAGGCTTCCCCTTTTTGCCTCCCTGATGACTTTCACTCCGCTCCCTCCCCTTCTGTCCTCATATTCATAATCCCGGCATTGCCAAGGAGACTGAAGGGTAAAGTCGGTCTTCTTTTCGGCTGAATTTCATCGTTCACGGATTTTCTATAATCGTTCCGTGTCTTAAAATCTTAAGCAGCCAGTGACATCTTCTATTGATTTTCCATTAGATTTGTTTCACAGATTTTTTTATTTTTATTATCCCACAAACCTCTTATCTTAACTACCCTCTCCGTCTGTTTCGAACTGCCTCGTCGTCTTCTATCTCTACCGGGCATCGAAATCCCTTTCCCCTCCCCTTCCGCCCACCCCCATGCCCGCACCTCCACCCACCCCCACACCCACAATCGCTCTACCCTCTACCCACTGCCCTGTACCCTGTCCCCTCCCGCCCCAGCCATTCACTTGACACTGGCCGTGGCCGCGGCTGGCATTCTGCTAACCTTGTCAAGACGTTTTTTCCCACTCCATAGAACGTTACGCTACTTAGTCACAAGATTAAGGGATCTGGAAGGGACTGGGGAACTTAAGGCTGGCTGATATATATATCTTGGTACGTGTGTGTGGATGCATGTGCACGCGTATGCTATTTTTGTATATGCATATTATATATATATATATATATATATATATATATATATATATATATATATATATATGTGTGTGTGTGTGTGCGAGTGTGTGTGTATGTGTGTGTGTGTGTGCGCGTGTGTGTGTATGTGTGTGTGCATCTCTCTCACTTTCTTTTTCTTTCGGTCATTCTTTCCCTGTCTTTTTCTTCCCTTCTCCCATCCCCCCCCCCTCTCTCCTCTCCTCCTCTGTCTCTGCCTCTCTCTCTCTCTCTTACTTCCCCCCCCCCCCCTCTATCTCGGCAGAATGAATAAGGCTAAGGACACTGGACCATATAATATATATCATAAAGATTTAAGCGTCCGTTTATGCCACTTATGGGCAAGAAACGGCTTAAGGAAAGTTAGCGAAATTAGTTTACAATCGAATCATTGCCAGGACAAACAAGACCAAAGTCCCCGACATTTTTATTCTCACAATCCCTTTCTCAAACCGCTTACCGATCCGCGACCTCCCTATGCCTTACATTCCAATTATAAACTTTTGAATACATATCTTTAAACTAAAATAAATAAATAAAGAAAGTATATACAGCAATCTTTACGTATACTTAGGCTAAACATAATTAAAATAGGCTTTGCACCCCCACCCCCCCTTAACTCCCCGCCCCCCCACCGACTGGGAACCACTTCCCTAGGCACCAATATTATATAATTCTGTGATTGAGATTCATTCCATTTGGTTTGCATATCATATATCATAGTTTGCATATCTATATATCTGTATCAAGTAAATATACACCGTGATGGAAATCATATTCGTATGTGAGAACAAAACAAAACGGAAAATAAAGGAAGAAGAGGAAGGAAGTGAGGTAAAGGAGAAGCTGAAAATGAAGAATAAGGAAAAAAAAAAAAAAATTGGAATGAAGTTGAATGAGGTGATTTCAAAAGAAACATGAGCTCCTCAGCCTTTCCTTATCAGGGGAAGAACAAAGTCACGACGTGTCACTTTTCCCCAAACAAAAGCTGAAAAAAAGAAGAAACTTAAATGCAAAACCAAAAATGAAACATATACGCATATATATATATATATATATATATATATATATATATATATATAAATATATATATTTGTATAAATATATATGTATAACTATATATATACATACATAAATATATATATATATATATATATATATATATATATATATATATATATATATATATATATATATATATATATATATATGTAAATACATATATATATATATATATATACAGATATATGTATTTATGTATGTATGAGTATATATATGTATATACATATATATTCATATATACATATATATACACACATGTATATACATATGCATATATATGTATGTATTTATGTATATATATGTATGTATTTATGTATATATATATGTATTTATGTATATATATGCATAAATATATATGTATATATATATATATATATATATATATATATATATATATATATATATATATATATAAATGTACATATGTGAATATGAATATATATATACACATATATATAAATATGCATATACATATGAATATGAATATATATACATATATGAATGTATACATATGTATACACATGTGCGCTCACACACACATATATATACATATATGCATATATATGTATATATGCAATATACATATATATATGTATATATGCATATACCTCGTATGGATGTGTATGTACACATATATATACATACATGTATACGTATCTATGTATATATACGTATACAAATATATATATATATTTTCATACATATATTTACACACACACAGACGTGTATATATATATATACATATATATTTATACACACACACCTAAGTGTGTGAACATGTGGCTGTTTGTAAATATATTGTACATGTTTGTGTATTTATTATACACACGCAAGTTTAACGGTGTTTTGTATTGAAACATGAAAGGAAATACAAACATCCAAAACCTGTGCGAGTATCTGCCACATAAACCTAAGTGTGAGTTTTTTGCCGAACACACACAGGACAGTCCTAAACAAACGATTAGATTAACCTTGAATCAGCCTCTCACTTTCTGCCTATATAACGGGGCGGGGTTCGGTAATCGGCACACTCACGCTCACAGCTCTCAACATGAAGACTGTAAGTTCAGTTTTATTAATATCGATTACATGTTTTGTTCGCTCTACTAATTTCTCATACGGCAGTTTTCATGAAAGTCAGTCCTGTAACCAGAAATTCATGCCAGCAAAATATTTTCAGGCCGTCCTCCTCGCCCTTGTCTCTGTGGCCATGGCCGCCAAACTACCCACCGAGGACCTTCCTGTGGCCATCGTGAGGAGCAGCCAAGTGAACCCCGACGAGAACGGCGCCCACAGTTCCGACTTCGAGGCCGAGAACGGCATCGTGTTCCAGTTCTCTGGCAAAGAGGCTGAAGAGGGCGGCGCCAACATGGTCGGATACTTCGCGTAAGGGAATACTGAAGTCTATTTTACTATTATATATAACGGTAACCTAAAGTGTGTTGTAAATGCTCACCGCTACAATTCTATTTAATAAGTCAGTTCGGGCCGACGAGAACGGCTTCCAGCCCGAGTCGTCCCTCCTGCCCGTGGCCCCCGCCTTCCCCCACCCCATCCCCCAGTTCGTCC